ACAAAAGACAACCTACCAAGACCTCAAGAAAAACAGGGTAAAGGTCCACGGCAGGTGCATGGAGCCTGGCCAAGTTGCAGCTCTCTGGCTCCAGAATTCATGAACATTATCACAGTGCATGGCTGCCTGGTACATGGTGGGGATACAGAAGAAACCAAATGTTATCATCTCATCCTTAGGCTAGAGAAAGAAGTGTCCATTAGTAATTCCAGCCAAACTTCCATGGCTGTGCCTTTCAGAGGTTATATGTGGGCTCTATAGCAGATGAACTGGGTCTTAACCTAGTCTTTTCATTTCTAGTTGTAAAAAAAAAAAAAAAAAAAAAAAAAAAAAAAAAAACCACAGGTGAATTAGCAACCTTTTCATGTCTTCATTTTCTAATCTCTAAAAGGACACTAATATTCATGTTTATCTCATGAAGTTATAATGAAAATTAAAAGAAACACTGTGTGGGAAACCCTCAGCTTGGTGCCTACCTGTACTAAGCTCCTCATCAAATAATAGCCATTGGTAGTGATCATTCTAAACCTCTGCCCTTTTAGGTGATCAATATCAATCCTCTTTTAGGAAGTTGTTTTGATGAGAAATACAAAGGCTTATTAAAAGGAGGTATCCTCAACACGAATTATTCTCCGTGGTCTTTAGTATAATGAAAGCAAGCAAAAGGAGACCAAAAAGATTTTGAATTTTTGACAGATTTGGACCTAGGGTGACAAATCTGGTTTATCTGGGACTGAGGGGATTTCCAGGACCCTCAAATGCGGAAGCTTTGCTCCTTCTGTTTTCAGAGGGGCATTTACTCCCAGTAGAGGGCAGTGATGCGGGAAAGGTGCTCATCTACTCATTTTCTTTTGCTTCCCACCATAGAAGTGACTCATCTGACCAGGACACTGGGCGTGCACAGCCCAGGCCTGTGGAAATGCCAGCCTGCTGCTCTTCAATTTATGCATGCACTCTTGATACCCACAACAAGGGATTTTGACCAGCTCTGGAATTGTCTGGGAGATCAGTTGTTGAGGACACAGGGGAGTAGGAAAGTTCAGTTTGAAGGAAGAAGGAATAGAAAGCTTGATCTGGTCACAGGTGTAGACACCATTCTCCAAACAGCAATCCCAGTAATAATAAAGCTGATAGTTGATTTCTATCCGACATCTGCGTTTATTTCTAAATTGATTCAGAATTGAAAAGGGGGGAGAGGATACAGTTAATTGTCAACCATGTGATTTATTATCACTTTCATAACAGAAGGATGGATGCCTATTTTATTTCAATGGCAAATGAACCCATTTCGGGCAGGCAGGGAAAGGAGACTTTGCAGATTCAGTGAGGTTAGAGTTTGGAGTGACCTTAAAGGTGATTTGGTACAATAGCTTCATTGTTACAGATGAAAAGGAAGTATAACTAAAATCACAAGTGACACGAATCATGGGAAAAACTTAAAATGCAAATTACCAATGAGATGAGAAGAGTCTTCAGAAGCCATGACCAGAATTAAAAAGAGAGCATCTATAATACAGAAAATAGATTATAGATAGATTATAAAGGATAGATGATGGTTTACAACCAAGTTCACACAGAGGGAGGGACATTTCCATAAATATAGCCCATCAGGAAATATCCATAAAAGCAAAACCAATGAAAAAATAGTGGTTCAAGGTTGAATTTTTATTTAATTGGGGGAAAAAACCCTACTTTAAGTTAGTAAGACTGCTAACCTACAACCTAGAATACCAAGTAAGGTGACCAAAGAAACAGGCATTTCTCTTCGGATCTCCTGCCCATCTCTCATAATTGGATTTTCTTCTGTTGCAACATTATTTGATAAGTGCTGTTACAAGGTCCCTAGATATCTTGGACCTGTGACAGATGGGACCTTTGGCCAAACACGGCCATTTCTCGTTTTACCTTTGTCCCTTTCCCATTACCTCTGCCTAACAGAGCACCTAGAACTAACTTTTACTTAGCAAGTTTCTAGTCCTGGGGAAGCCTGTATCCCTCTTACTCTTTCACTCTTTCACTGAATGCAGCTGTAAAACCTAGACACAATTCATGGAACACTACCTGAGGATTCTGAGAAGTAAATAGCAACAGGCAGACTGGCGAAGAAGAATAAAATTTGAAATACTGCCTCACCAATAACGAGTTTGCTCCCCTCCCCAGACCTAGACCCTCAACTCAAGATTCCAGAAATGGGCACCAGGGTGCAAACCAAGACAGCTGCTGGAGACGCCACCTGGTTCTGGCTGTAGCAGAGGGAAAGAATTCTAATGCTCAGTGTGGATATCCTGCTTCGTCTCTCTTATTCCCTCTCCTCCTCCCTTTCTCTCCTTTTCTTCTTCTCTTCTCTCCCTCTTCCCTCGCTCCACACTCCAGCCCCAGAGATCTTGCACTACTGGCAGCATTAACTTTCAGGAGCTGGAACTATGAGGGTATGTCGTTAACCTCCCCTCCGCTGGGTGGCACTGTTGTTCCCATAGGATGGAGCTCCCTCCCGCAGTGCCTCCCCCCAAGCACCCCTCAACACTATTTTTCTCTCTCTGTCTGCTTGGCTGATAATGTGGGGAAAATTATGAAAGCCTGGGGCTGAAAAATGTCGGGAGCTAGAAAGGATCCAAGACAACATGGAAAGGAAGGAGCTTGGCAAAGCAACCTTAGACAGCTTCTTTGATAAATCTCTGGGCTTGGTCTCTGCTGGTATACGTATTGATATAACAACAGTGAGCTACAAATCTTGGAGAACCCCATCCATGTGCAAGACTGCTCACTGGGAGATATGCACTCAGGACACAGCCAGACAGTATGGCCAAGGCTTTGAAAACTGCAGTGACATAGGAAAGCAGCTCTCAGAATATCACTACTGAATGAAACTCGTGGGCTGAACTCAAGCAGGATGACTGCCTGCTACAAGAGAAATAGCAACAATCTCCATCGGCTCCAAGCAAGACTTAGAGCCTCACAATGTTCAGGATATATAGAGCACAGTCTGAAAGCTCTTGGCATATCAGGATAATCTCGGTTCTCACAGAGAAAGATAATCAACTGCAGCTAACACTGTGATGACACAGAGTTTAGAATTATCTGATGGAGACTTTAAAGCAGCTATTATAAAAAGTTCCAACCAGCAATCATGAACACTGCTGAAACTAATAGAAACAGAAATGCTCATCCAGGAAATAAATGACATAAGGAAGAGCTAAATGGAAATTTTAGAACTGAAAAATAAAGTCACAAAATAAAACTTTACTGGGGGACTAGTAGCAGAATGAAGACGACAGAGGAAAGGAATGCATGGCACACAAATTTGTAGGTGGTGGTGGGGTGTGTATTATCACTTTTTCATGCATCTCTCCCTCTGTTTTAAATAGACACTGTTGTATAACAAACCACATCAAACTCTAGAGACTCAAACTAGAAACTGTTCTACCAATTCTGTAGCAGGGCTGGGCAGGTTTTCTGCTGGTCTCCCTGGGATCTGTTCATCGTTCTGTGCTCAGCTGAAGGTTGAATTGAACCTAGAGGCCCAAGACAGCTTCACTCACACCCCCGACAGTTAATGGTGGGTGTGGCCTGGAGACTTCATTCTCCATGTAACTTCTGGCTCTGTTAGGCGAGACTGAGTTTCTTCACACCATGGCGGTCTCGGAGTTCCAAGGCAGTGAGACCAGATGCCACAGTCTTTGTTAAGCCTGGGCCCAGAACTCAAACATTGTGACTGTCATATTCCAGCAGTCAAAGCAAGTTACAATAGAAGGCCAGCAGGGAGGTAAAGGCTAAAAAATCAGACTGTCTCTGATAAGCAGCCACACGATTTGGCAAAGTGGCACAGCTCCAGGGAGGCCAGAGACTCCAGGGATCATTGCTTCAATATTCTACCAGGCCCACCCAGGGAATTAATGCAGCACAGCTCAAATGCCATCGATACACATGATTACGGCAGTAAGAGACGGATGCCTAGTGGAGTTTAAGGTCACGCAGTTAGTTTGCCTGACATCCCACGGTTAGTTAAGGAGAAAGCATGAAACTGGATCTTGCAACTGCTATTCCTCTGACCAGAACTCCTGCCTCGGAGAGGAGCTGCACAGCTTTTCCACAGTTTGGCTGCGTGACAGCTGGGAGAATAATGGACAGTATTGTGCAATGTGTGAGCAATCATTCAGCATTCAGATCCATTTTGTGAGGAAAATAAATGCCTGCACATGTGGGGCTGATGAAAAAATTAACATTAGAGAGCTTCACGAAGAGCTCATTACAGGGCAAAAGAGCTCATTACAGGGCAAAAGAGCTCCTGACCTGTTCTATGTACCACAGCACAGTACAGTCAGTCCCTCGAGTTCTTGGCACTCAAAGTTTAATTTTTTATGGAGGTAAAATTCATATAACATCAAATTAACCATTTTCAAGAACCAATTTAATGCCATTTGGTACATTCATTATGCATCTACTACCTCTATCTAGTTCCAAGGCATTTCCATCACCCCATAAGGAAACTGTCACCTCCAAGCCCCCACCTCCCTTCCCTGCTCCCATCCCACTGGCCATAGCCCTGGCAACTACCAGTGTGCTCTCTGTCTCTTCGGATTTACCTATTCTGAGTGGCTTCACAAAAGTGGAATCACCCGACTTTATGTGGGTGGATCTGGAAAGTTTTTGAAGTTCCTTCATATTGGAGCATGTCAAGGCATTTTAATCCTTTTTATGAACAATAAGAAAATAAAAAATGTTCATAATATCCACTGGGTGGATGTACCACAAATCATTCGTATGTTCATCAGTTGACAGGCACTTTGATTTTTTCTACTTTTCGGATATTCTGAATAACACTGCTACAACCACCTGTGTGCAAATATTCATCTGAATATCTGTTTTCAGTTCTTCGGGGTATAGAGCTAGGAGTGGAATTGCTGGGCCACACGGTAATTCTATCAAAGTTTCCTTTTGATTTTGGTTTTGAACAGGCTTCTTAAAACAGCATGAGATTAACAGCTTGCTGCCAGCTTTACCTTGTCTCTAAAGTCAGCATGGTTCTGGAGGATGGCACTGCGGTAAGTGGCTGTCCTCACGAAATCTTGCATCATATTTTGCTGCTGGGAAATGCAGCCATAAAACTGTGAAGGAAAAAGAAGGGAGACAAGGAAGAACCTTCATGAATGCCTGGTTCCTAAAGCCTTGGTTAAGGCAGGAACAGCCCTTAAATCACAGGGAAACTTAGGCTGAAAGAGACACAGTGGCCTGCCCGCATTGACTTTTTTGTGAAGTGTGAAATTCTAAGGAGAATTCACACTTGTGAGTGTGTTGGTGTTGATGGATAGGTGCGGAGGGTCCCATCTTAAAGTAGCAGTGATGACAGAGCAAGATCAATTGTAATAGCATCAAGAGAGGAACCAAAGCCTAAAAGACCATGCTGCATAGAGGAGCCCCACCCACCTAAGAGACAAACAGAACTTAACCAATGTCTCCAGTGGAGGGGGACAGGAGGTGGTGATGGTGATCCTGATGGAAACAGAAACGAGCCAGTTGTGTGATATGACACATCTATGCTATAAACACCGAGTAATAAATGTCATCACCGTAACTGTCATCACTCTGTAGAGCTTTCTGTAGGCCAGGCCTCAGCTACCTGCATCACCCAATCAAATTAAATCATCATAAAAATCAGCTGACACATGTTCTTTGGCTGAAGAAACGGACATGCAGAAAGACACAGGAATTTGCCAAAGTCCCGACACCTAAGTGGCAGAGCGGGAATTTAACCCTGGTGATAATACTGCTCACACTGTTTTCTGCAAAGAGAAAAAGCAGATCCATTTCTTCTTTACCTTGGAAACCACAGAACTCACCGTTGCTCTGTGTAAAAAAATTCCAGCTGTGAAAATATTAGAAGACGAAAACGGCACATTCATCCCCGCACCCTTCATGATTTAAAAAAATTCCAGCTGTGAAAATATTAGAAGACGAAAACGGCACATTCATCCCCGCACACCCTTCATGATAAGGAATGGCAAGGTGGCAATGGGTACTACTCTGAGGATGACGCTCTTATTTACACTTCTAAGACGTATCTGTATTCAGAAACCGCAAGTGAGAGAGCACAACTGGGCCACAGGCAGAGACAGGGCTTCTCCAGTTCTCCTGTTACTGCGCTCACGTAGCTCCCAGACTTACACTCCATATGTGCATGGGCTCGAGGGAAGGCAACTGCTGATGATAAGAAAAAGTGAAAAATACATGTGAAAATAGAAAAAGAGTCTATATATTCCTTCTATCTCATAATGGGAGATTCCCCTCCCCCCGCTCACTGCATACTCTCCCGCCGTACAGAGAAAAGGTAAAATAACTGGAGATATGTGAGCGCAAGCGAATGTACTCTACTATTTGTAAATAAAATCCAGAAATAATCCTCCCTCCCAAAAAATTCCAGAAGTGATTTGACAGCTAACCCAGCCAGCGCAGTCGTCAAATTCTGGGACTTTTGCCTCAGAAATCTCAGCGCGGCCTGGCTGTCTTTGCCATCTGTGTCCCCCATTATAAGCACTGTGACTGGGTCTCCGCATTCTCACATGTTCTCGGTACACAGGAAGTTCCAGGCTTTTCTGTTCTACACTCACACTCTCACTCCCTATCCACCCTGCTCCGAAGCCGCTACTCCTACTCTACTCTTCCTGCACACCGGAGACCCACCTGCACCTTGGGCACTCCGGCCGCTGAATGTTTCCAAAGCCCCATGTCAGCCCGGTCCCGGCTGGGCCTCCTGGCTGAGTTACTCATTTGTGCTGCTAGATGACCTTTTAACATCAAACTCCTGCCCCACTTCCCAGAGTCCATGCGAATAGCATTTCCCACTGCCGCACTCTGGAACACCACGGGCAGCATCATGGGTGTGATCCAGTGGATCTCAACACTCACGTACAAACCAGAATCACATGGAAAGATTTTTCTACCTGTGCATCCTGGGCACTCGGCCTACACGTGGTAATTCAACGTCTTGGTAATAGGTGCAAGGCATTTCTCTTTTTCAAAAGCCTCTACACTTCTTGTTCATAGTGTGGGAAGAGGATCTTTAACCCCATGCTCTCCACTTCATATAATATTATTCATTTTCCTGATTTCTCTAGCTTTTAAAAACTTTCCATCTGCTGCCAGCATTACCTGAATAATGGCAACTCACTTGACAATGGGAAGTATCACTTTTAAATTATTTTATTTAAAATTCCACTTGTGTCTGCTGGGTATCTTTCCAAAAGAATTTAAAAAATCACATCACAGTGATATATGCGCACCTATGTTTAATAGCGGCACAGTTTGTAATAGCTAAAACTTGGAAACAGCCCACCTGCTCATCAGTTGGAAACTGGATAAAGAAGATGTGGTTTTTCTATAAAATGGAATATTACTCAGCCATAAAGAATGATAAATTAGATTCATTCATAGGAAAATGGATATGTGTTGAGGTTATACTCTTAAGTGAAATGAATAAGTCGCACATGTGTAAATACCGAATAGTTTCTCTGGTGTGAATAAACTATAATAGTACATAAGATCCTAATGATATAATGGACAATGTGAAATAGGAAGAAAGGGGCTAAAGGTGTAGGGAAGGTGGGAAGGGTGGGGGAAGGGTAATAAGGGGGTAAATATGAGGAAATGAAGTGTTTGTAAAGGGGAAAGGGAGGAGGGGTGAAGGGAGGGCAGGGACAAGGGGCAAAAATGAGAACCAAGACCTGTCATGTAAAGGTACAAGATCCCAATAATGAGTGTAACTGCACTGTATACCTAAAATGTACCAATAAACTCAATGAGGAAAAAAATTCCACTTGTAATTTTTCACTTAAATTGGATATATTTGACACAAACATCATGATATATTTAAATATTATATATGAATAAGTAAACCTGGTTAAATAACACACAAAACATTTCCATCTCTCTACCTAAACCAAGCTCTTTTAAGATAATGATTAGATGTTCACATGCCATTTATCTCTAGTTTCCAGACCACACTGCTAACGCAGAAGATATCCACCAAATAGGTCTGAAGGTTGGATACATTTAGAGAAACAACTAATGATCTTGGTGAAATTATTTTTAATTGATGAGACAGCCCTGTGAGACACTGAGGCTGTCTCACAAAGGAGCAGGTAGGTTAATAAAAACATACTGGTGGAGGGTATGCAACTTTTACCCCTTTTGCACAAAGGAATGCTGGCTACACAGGAGACCTAGAGAGGGACAAAGGGAGGATTTCACAGTAGAAAAATAAGAGATTTGCAATGTGGCTGAGCAATCACTGTTTCACCAGCTTGGGGGGCTTCCCCCCCACTGGTAAACTCTAAATAATTAGTGCTTCCCTGTGGGTCTCTCTTCCATGTGGGTCTTTTGGTTAAAAATTCATCTCCATTATGAAATGTTCTGTGAACTCTTTATCTTCTGCAATTTTGCCCATATGAAAGGAAAGGATGCAGATAATGATTTTAAAACAATTATAAAACCAACATAAAATGTGTAAAACATTTAGAGAATGCAATAAACGACAGCAACAAAAAACCCCATTGTACCAGCAATTATCTTTAGTAGTTTGGTTTATGTTCTATTGATGTAGGAGGCGGGATTCGTGTGTGTAAAAATTCCTAGTTTTTATAAAATTGCATCATATTATTTTACAGCCTGCTTTTTTCATTTAGGACACTATGAATAACTTCCCAGATGATTATGTGGTCTCCTCCACTTTACTATTAATAGATATATGGTTTCAACTTTTATGGAGATGGCATAATTTAACCAATTCCCTCTGGTTAGATCCCCAATTTTTACTGTAGATCCACAGTATCAGAATGTCCCTGGCAATCCTGCAGACAAGACAGTTTTGAGAACTCTAATTAATTGAATATGGCAGCATTCATATAAGAATTTTACATTATAGTAAAAAAGAGACGTTATTCCTTCACAACACCTTCCTACACACAAAATCAGTATGTTAATCAATATTTTTGCTCTCATGTTTTTTTTCCTTTTGACTATTTTCTTTTGCTATTTAAAAAAGTCTATAACTTAACCGTATAAAATTTTGAAATGCAGAAAAGAGAGCCAAGAAGGAAAAATAATTCCCAAACACAACCACGTTTTGAGAATCTTCCAGAATAATGTTGATGTATTTATATCCATCTCTATATCACTTACAACAATAGTGTGGTACTCTACTATTTTACAACATGCCTTTTCACTGAACACCACATTACTAGCTTTTCCTGTGTCACACATTTCTCATAGCATCACTTAACTACACAGAATGTTGTAAGGTCCCTTAATTACAGTTGTCATCTTGCTGTTTCCCCAATTTGTTCCCAGAGACAACACCAGAGCTAAGGAGATCTTAATATTTTTGACTCTGTACCCTCAAACTGTAGACCTAAGTATTTGCTTATCAAACTCTACTGGGAAGGGTGAGAGAAATCTGAATGTGACAAAGTACAATTTCCTGTATTTGTAGTCTTCTCCCTCAAAGAGATATTGGGCCATGTCTTCTCAGCTTCAGTCTCTTGGCAGCTCTCCAGCTTTCTCTGAGTTCTCAGAGATTGCCAGCAGTGGTTCTTGTCATCCATCTGTGAGTTCTTTGAGTCCTGGGCTTCTAGGTTGCTTGGGCTTTCAAAGCTATGGTAAATTAATTTGTTCAACAACTAGACTTATGAATATTCTCTGCAGTCATGGTTCTCCATCTCTGGGGACAAGGGTGTGTTATTAACACAGCAAAAATAATGGTTCCCTCATCTGGCGAATGGAAAGATGAAACTATTATTTTTCATTAAGAAACAACATTTTTAACTTTACTTCCACTGCAGCTCACAAATTGTCTCCAACGCAGAAGAGACGCTCCAGTGGGGACCTGCAGGAGCCCTAAACAGTCCACAAAATAATTACTGATCTGGATGTAGCAGAGCTCCTGTGTTTGATAGGAAATTCAGTCTCATTATATTACTAACACTGTTTTAGTCTATGTAGGCTGCATAACAAAACGTCACCGATTAAGTGGACCAACCCACAGACATTTTTCTTCCTAGTTCTGGAGGCTGGGAAGGCGAGGATCGAGGTGCCTGCCCCACAATCAGGTTCT